CTGCACCGCAATCTCCCCTCCTGGCTCCATAGTTCTCAGGGTGAGGGTGGGGAGCTGGGCTGGATCAGTGTAGGGGCCTCCGGAGTCCAGGGGGCCAGGGCTTAGGGGCTGGGACCCAAGGGGGAGGATCCTGGAAATGGAAAATGTGAGACCAATGGCCTTATCTGCACTGGAAGCAGATGTCCCCACCCCTCACCCTCCACAGCCCCTGCTTCTGGGAGGAGGACCACAGGCTTCCATGCAGGAATGGGTGGGCAGCCTGGGCCTCAGCAGAGGCCTGTGGGAAGTTCCTCTCCCACTGGGGTCAAGAGAGTCTAATGTCTGTCCAAGAGGGCAGGAAGCTCTGCTCTCTAATATCTCCTCCCCAAACCAGGGGCACTTGTAGAATTTTATATGCAAGAATCTCTACAGAGCAGGCCCTAGAACACACGAGAACTGGGCCTTCTAGAGACACTTCTAGATCTGGCTGGAGTTAGTCCGAAACAGGTCATGTAATATGTATGTCCAAATCCACACACGATGATATACATGCAAACATTAAGGTATATAGATCTATTGTATACATGACGCGTACAAGCATGTGTACAGTACCGGCTGCATAGGACACACCTGATGTCTACACTGACACAGGTACTGCAGGCATACCCATATAGGTGTAAATATAAACACACAGTCACCAACAAGCAAACACATTAAAAATCCCTCCTGCAAACATGGCTACTTACAAATGTGCACACGCTCCCCATATCACGTGTATGTGCAGGCATGGGTGCAGATAGTAGACTCTTAACTCCCATCTGTTATCTCTACCTGGACACATACATGCATGTGCAAGCATGATGCATGCACAGACACATTCTCAGACACAGCAAAAAGATTAATGTTAAAAATGCACACTATCAGCTTGGTGCCATAGCACATGCCTATCATCTCAGCAACTTGGGAGACTGAGGCAGGAGGATCACAAGTTCGAGGCCAGCCTGGGAAACTTAGGGAGACTCTTTCAAAATTAAAAAATTAAAAAAGGGCTCAAGGATGTAGTGGTAAAGCACCTCTGGTTTCAATCTTTAGTACCAGAAAAAAGAAAAAAAAAAAAGAAAAGAAAGAAAAGTACAGGAGTGTGGGGCAGAGTGTCCACTGGAAAGGAGGGACAGATTTAAAGGAGGGTTTTGTAAAGGGGAGTTGTAATTACCCAGGAGGCAGGAAGAGTTTCTTCCCAGCTTCCCAGAGGCCTGAGGGTTCCAGGATTAGCCCTTGTGGTTCTGCATTAGGCAGGTAGAGCTGTGGGGAGGAGGTTAGAGACCCAGGGGTTCCTCTCCTGGGCACTTCCCTGAGTCCTGGCTGGAGGTGAGACTTGGGGACTCCAAGACTTACCCAACTTGGAGCCTCTGCTCCTGTGCAGCCTCTACCATATCTTCTACCTCCCTCCTTATCTTACTCCTCTTAGCTCTGAGCCCAGCAACCTGGCAGGAAAAGATAAATGTAAGCCCTGTGTCCCCACCCCTATGGATCTCATAACAAGGCAACAGTTTCCAGGGACAGAGAGGATTTCAGGATTTGGGAGGAGGAGTGGGGGATGGTACGTTGGCTGTGGGGGTGGATTCAGTCCAGAACTCTTCCTCCTGGAGGTCTTATTAATGTGTTTGGTTTGGGCACCTGAAGCTGCAGACCGTGGAGGGAGTATGGCTAGCTGCATATACCTTCCTGGATATGAAGCCTAATGACCAGACCAGGCCTATTAGCTGCCCCAGTAAGCTGGGGCCTCTGTGGAGGGTGTGGCAGGGCCAATCAGGGCCTGGCAGACAATAGGTCTGGCCTGGCCCCTGACCTTCCAATCTGAGTTCTTTCTGGGAGTGGGCTTTGGAGGGCACTCCACTGACATCAGTAACTGCCTTTGATCCAGTGTGAATGTTGATGTGACCCTGGATACTGGTCCGTGAGCCTCACAGCCCACACTTCGCTCTAATACATGTTCTCTGTGACTCACCAGAGTGATCTTTACCTCTATGTCCCCAAGTCAGAATTTGGGAGCCATTTTACCTCTCTCCTTCCTGCATCCCCCATTGTCCTCCCATCCAACAGTTATGTTGGTCTCATTGGCTCTCCAATGAGACCCCTCTTCCCAGACATCCAATCATCCAATGTACTGAAGCCAATTGCCACACCAGGTATGGGGACAGGAAAATGGCTGAGATAGACCCCCTCTGTGGATGGGGTCCAATGTGTGCATGCAAGTGTGTACCTGTACACCCATGCATGTGGACCCAGGGGTGCAGAGGGTGCAGAAGTCGTGTCAGGCTGGTGGGCAGAGCCCCCAGAATACTTCTGAGGGGCAAATTCCAGGGGAGTTGAGCCTCCCACCAACCTGGGACGCAGAGAGGAACTGCTTTGAATTGCCTAAATCTGACTGTTGCTCAGAGTGGATGTAGGAAGAGGAAATACCTCAAATCTTGGGTTCCAGTCCAGTCTTTGAGTGCCTTGCTGAGTGACCTTAGGCCAGGTGATGCCCTCTCGGAGCATCAGTTCCCCATGTCAGCTCTATGCCTTTAACTTCCCTAATTGTGTGGTTTGGGCCTGCCAAGGATCTGATTTTGTAAGGTGACTGGCAGGGGGCCTTGGGAAGGCTCATCTGCCTCTTGCTTTGAGCTTAGAAGCAGAGCTGAGCAGGGGACCAGCAGGCAGTGATGGCGTCAGAGCCCAGTGAGGGGGGGGGGTGCGGAGCTGGAAGGGCAGATGCCAGACCCCCCAGGACTTGGTGGGAGGTCGGCCTCCATTGCTCGCTGACATCAGGGCTGGCAAACGTGGAGGGAGTTGGGCCAGGTTCAGCAGCTCTCACCTCCCTCACAGCTTGGAGTTGAGCTGGAGAGGATGGGGGGTGATTTTCAGGGAGAGCCGGGAGGACCTTTTGGCCTAGGAGCAGAGTGGCAGCCTCCCCGGATCTGTCTTGGAGCCAGCTTCATAGATAGGGTCCTGCTGGACGGCGCTCTACCCCCAGCCCCCTCCAGAATTCCCCTTGTCCTCCCTTCCTTCCTCTTCTCCTGCCCCTCTTCCCTGCCCTCCTGGTTCTCTCTCTCTTCTAGGCTCATCTCCAGCTACTGACTCAGTGGTCTGACTGCTGAGGGAAAGAAGCCAGGGGGATGGTTTGAATCTTGCACCGTCTGTCTTTCCAGGACCCAGGAGACGCCCAGTCTGCCCCTGACAGAGTCCCTACTTTAGCCCCAGAAGGAACCCTGCCCTGGCCCCAAGCAACTCCTAGATATTATCCACAGTGGCCCAGGAGGGACTAGGTAACTTACCTGAGGTTGGAGAGTGTGGCTGTATCCTGGGCAGATCTCTACCACCTTCCACCCACTGAGGTTCTCATCCCAGAGACCCCAGCCAGCCTCTTCTTGAGGCTGGATCCCTGCTCAGCCTCCACTCCCCTGGCTAAGTTGTCAGTCCAGGTATACGTTCAGGTGCACAACAGCCAGCTGTGGTCCAGGGATTAACAGGCCCTCCCAAAACTTTCTTTCTCGGGTTCTGTAAGGGAGGAGACTGGGTTTCTCCGGCTGGAACCAGGAATTTTGAACTCCAGGATCCTGTGTTCCTACCTCTTGGGGCTATGAGTGTTGTCTGTGGGCAAGGGCTGCTACAGCAGCATCTCTCAAGGTCTCTATCAAAAATTCCACCCGTAGAAAGAATGTGGGGAGCGGTTTGGCTCACCCTGTCCAGACGGCTACTTGGAACACATACACATTCGCACACATATGCAACATGCACGCCTTTTGGCACTTGACTTTCTCGTGAAATAATTGCTGGAAGGCTCCTTGGATTAGGTAACTCAGTGTTCCTTCCTGTCCCCACTGTGTGTGTATGTGTGTGGGGAGGGGCAGCAGCCAGCATCTGTTAGACTGATCCAGCTCCTGTGGGGCAGGGAATGGGTTAGAAAGCTCTGTGGCTCCAAATATCCTTGGAAGCTAAACAGGACCATGGAAACAAGCCTTTCAGTTTTCTCTTTCCTGTGGGTCATCTGGGTGTTCCTTCCCAGCCTGGGAGCCTCCTTCAAACCTTGAAAAGGAAAAGCTAATTAGGAGTTCTTCCCCCCCCCCAAGGATGAGATGTTCTCATTTTAATTTCAAACCAGTTTTACAATATCATCCTAAAGTCACAACTGTTTTCTTTCTTTTTCTTCTAATGGTTGATGCTTGTGTGTGTTCTGGACCTGTGTCTCTCTGGGATCAGGAATGAACAGAGCATTGGAGGGAATACAAGTCAGAGCCCTGGCCTGTGGGTAGAGGCCAGGGACTGACCTCTCATGGGGGAAGGCAGGAGATTAGTCCAAGATGCCCATGGCAGGATTTGGAGATTCCACTCTAAGCACACCCTTTCCTCCCTGTCTGCACTCAGCCTCTCCTGGATGCCCTAATAGGGAGTTCTTTGGTGAGCCTGGAGCCCTTACTGACCACGGGTGGGAAGCGTGCAAGGATCTTGCTACACAGAGTAGGAGAACTGGGCGTGGACAGCACATAATTGAAAAGACTGGAAGAGGACTTCGCCACCTGTCTCATTCTCCTTGAGGTCTGGTAATGGGCAAAGGCCCCACAGGTAAGTATGTGCACGTAAGACACTGGAGATGATGGGGACTTGGTGAAAGTCCGAACAGTTCTGAAGACCACTGCTGCTGCTCTCAGGTCTGAGAAATGGGCATCCCCAACTCCAGTAGAACCCAGGTCCTACAGGTGAAAAAGAAGGCATAGCCCTCGGTTATGGTCCCCAAGGGCCAGGGCCTTCTTCCGGTGGATCCTCAGCGCCCTCCCCCCCCGCCCCCAGGCCGCACGCTGCTCCTTCAGGGTCAAGAGGGGCTCGGACTTGAAACTTCCCAAGGCTTTGCTCCCCTGGAGAGGATAGGAGGTGGCAAGCTCTCCATCCCGCACTACAGAAAGAATCTCCAGGGGCGGGGTGTCCCTGAGCGGGACGGGCCCCGCCCCCACAACCCCGCCCCCGCGTGGCGCCCATTCCCGGGGCTCACGGGTCCCGCCCCGCCCTGCCTCCGCCCCTCCGGCCGCCCCTCTGGCGAGGCCAGTTCCCTACGGCCAGTCGCAGCACTGAGTTGCAGAGCTCCGATCCTCTCCCACCTCCGACGCGCTCTCCGATCGGTGCACCCTACACGGCCATGGAGCCGACCCCCGACGCCGAGGAGGCGCGCAGTGTGCGCGAGGCCCTGGGTCGCTACGAGGCGGCGCTGGAGGGCGCGGTGCGCGCGCTGCACGAGGACATGCAGGGTTTGCAGCGCGGCGTGGAGCGGCGCGTGGCCGAGGCGCTGCGCCTGGCTGGTCCCCTGGCGCGCACCGTGGCGGACCTGCAGCGCGACAATCAGCGGCTTCAGGCGCAGCTAGAGCGCTTGACGCGCCAGGTGGAAGCGCTGGGCTTGGCGACCGGGCTGTCCCCTGCGCCCGGCACGCCCAGTCCCCCGCCGGCGCCTGGGGTTCCGGACCGAGCGCCCCGCCTGGGTACTGCACGCTTCGCCAGCCATGCCACCTTCTCGCTGTCCGGCCGCAGCCAGGTGAGCCTAGGAGAGCGCTGCACACAGGTACGGGATCATGCGCGTGCGCCAAGGAGTAGGGTTCAGCGCCTTGGTGCGTCCTTCCCTCCCGAGTGCGTGCGCTCTCTAGCTTCTTTTGACCTGCAGGCTGGGCCTCCGCCTACCGTTGGGACTTGGTAGCGGGGGTCGCACCACCACTCCGGAGTTGGAAAGGAAGGAAGAAGCCTGCTTAGTCTGCCCGCTGCACCTGTCTCACACCCCTTCCCTAATATGGAGTCAAGTCCTGTTTGCACTGGGTTCTGCCTCCCTCTTCCCACAGCCCCTCAACTCTAAGGGACTGGGCGCTGAGGTGCAGTCCCTGAAGGTTGAGTACCGCCTGGGGCCTCTCCTTCGTATTGGAGTGGTCAGCACCCCCCTAACCCAGCCCTCCACTTCCATTCACGCGCCTCGTGTTGCTGCTTCACTGAAGCCTGACCGCTCAAGTTATAGATTAACTTAAACTGAGAACCTGAGGGGTGTGTGTGTGTGTGTGTGTGTGTGTGTGTGTGTGTGTGTGTGTGTGTGTGTTTTGGGGAGGGATGCAGTCTGATCTGGGTTGGTTTGGGATCTTGCATACATTGCAGGGGGCAAATGCCTTACCGTGAAGAGAAGGCGGGGTGGGTACAGGTATTAAGCAGTGTCTAAATTCCTGGGTTCAGTGACTGGCCAGAGGCCGGTGTAGACCAGTTAGTACCTTGAACATGGGCCTCCCGGAGTGGCAGGTCCTGGATAGAATGTTTCCATGTGTGTGTGTGCAGTGGCCCTTAGGTGGGATTTTCCATCCTGATCAGCCATGTGCTCTGGGTTGGGTTTCCAGGGTCTGAGGCTGAGTAGTCTGGCCCTGCTGCCCCTCCTCCGTGCACTCTCTCACGCACTCACATCTCCTGCTGTGGGCTGGGCTGCACCTGGGGCTGGAGGAGGGGCTCTGATAAAGCCTCTGGAGGTCCCAGCCTCTGGTGGAGAGGGCCCCACATTGAGCAGTGCTAACTGTGAACAGCCAGGGATGTTCTGCTCCAAGGAGGTCTTTGTGCTGGAGCCCCAGGCTACTAGTGCAGGTGGTATGTGGAGGGCTGTGCTTGCTGCCTCAGAAAATCTAAAAGAACTTGCTGGCCAGGGTGAGCCTCCATGTGTAAGAGTGGAGGGTAGAATTGTGCCCTGGATACTGGAGAGAGGAGTTGGGCTTTGTCCCAGTGCCCCGCTTGAAGTGTCTGGAAACATGGATACACTTAAGTCTCTCCTATGAGCATGAGAGTTCATATGTCCCTGGTATAAAATCACCACTGTGGGCTCACACGTGCCTAATAAACTATGTCATCGATTGTTTCTGAAGTATTATTTTAACACACATCTGCTACTTGTCTGTTTATGGAAGCAGCTGTCCAAGTTTTAAGAAAAATAATCTCAGAGTCATACATACATGTAGATGTGTACACATTTAGAAGTATATATGTGATTCTCTTTAGTTGTGATTTTCTTCAATGGGAATTCACCATTCACCAGGTCAGGCTAGCCCTCCTAGTAATGGGAATGGCATTGGGGGGCTGGATAGGGAAGGGATAGGATTCTCCTTGTATCTGGCAAGCTCCCTCAGAGATGGATAGAGACCAGTAACTTAATTATGATGATCACAGGAGAAAGAATGGGTCTCATCTGGGGCAGTGGTGTGTGGACAGATTGCCTTGGACAGGGTCAGGGTAGAAACCAACAGGTAGGGTAGTTTTAGGACATGAGAATGGGGGTGGGGAGAATAACCCTGTCTTGGGGGACTATTGGGGTTGCAGATCTGGGTGGGGGGGTTGACTGGGAGAGGGTTGTGGGGCATCCAGGTGAGGTTGTCTCAGTGCAGAGGGATCCATAGATCAAGGCTGGGAGTCAGGGGGCTTATGTGAGCAGAGCTGGCAGTTGGAGTTGTAGGGTGGATATGGTCTCCAGGTCCATTGCAGAGAAGGGGCCCTGGACAGAGGCAGAAAATTTTGAAGCAAGTGAAAACCAGGTCACAGAATTGCCAGAAAGCAAGAAGGACCTGGAGTACCCACTCTTAGAAATCCAGAGAGGGGAGTCCTTCTGAAGAAGAGGTTGGGGTCAGGGATGCTGTAGCTGAGGATAGAGAGCCAGTTGGGGAGTAGTAGGTTGTGGATTTCAGAAAGGCCCTGGAGGCAGGGAGCAGCAAGTGTAGCTGAGCGGGCAAGCGCAATGGGTGGAGGATGGCTGGCCTCCAGTTGGGCCAGAGGGTGTGCAGCCCTTGAGTCTCAGCTTCCTGGGCCTGAGGCAGCTTCCCCTGCCTGACCCTAGAGGCACTGGTCCCCACTGCTCTTGCAGACTATCCTCTCAGCAGCACTGACAAAGGTCTGAGACAGCTTCTGGTAATGAAGGGGCCTGAGTAGAGCATGCACATGCTCCAGATTGTGTGCTGTGACCCACAAGCAGCCTATGATTGGGTATTTGGTCACGAACAAGGAATCAGGGCCTCATGGCAAAACTGGAGTGTGGACAATGAACACTCACAGCTGCTGATGTCTGGCCTTTCATATTCCATGTGTGTATGTGTATGTGTGTGTGTGTGGGGTGATTCTGGGCCTGAGGGTATATCATCCTGTGCATACTCCGTGTGTGGTCAGACCTTGTGGAAGCTGGTGTTACACTGTCCCTCAGAAACAAGCAATGGATTTAAACACCTTTTTGCTGGGGACAGTTGGAGTTGGAGATGGGTTGTACTCAACATATAAATGTGCTCCAAACTCAATTCAGAAGGGATTGATCGAGTAATCCACTTTTGAGTGCATACACCTTGGTCTTGCTATGACATGGGAGGAGGGGACACAGGTCTGAACTTAATGACAGAGGATGATCAGGGGCACTCAGGGAGGATGCAGAAGCCTGAGACACTGGAGCAGACTTTTGGAGCATTTGCTGCGAGGCTTGGGGGCATATCTTCCCAGCTAAATCTCAGTTTCCTTGTATCCAAACCAAGGCGGGTTGATCAACCTTGAAGGGCCCTGTTGAGCAGGCTGGGTAGTTAGTGCCCAATTAGTTGGGTTAACAAAAGTGTCCTGGAAGCCATTGCCATTGTGTGGCCATGAGGAGGGAGCCAGGAGCCCCCTGGGGGCCTGGGATGGATGGTCACAACCTGAGGCCAGGCCCACTCCCCAGGAGGACAGGTCCACTCCCCAGGAGGCTGACTTAGGGCTATTCCCTGGAAATTTCAGCTCCTGCTTAGCTGGAGCTGCTGGGTCCCCATGGCTGAGGCAGCACAGTCCCTCAGGAACAATTGCCAGGAGCCGGGTGTCAGAGGCCCGACCAAGAAAGAAACCAGACTCTCGCCTTATCTGCCTTCCTTTCCCAGACGCATCGTGTGATAAGAGAGTTTAATGCTTTAGGGAGAAGTTTGAATTGAGTCCTTTAAAACTGTGGTGTGAGTGGAGGCAGGGCAGGGCGGCCCTGTTAACCATCTTGGAACGGGGTTCTGCCTGTCATGGGCTGTGCCAGGCACACATGTTGTCTCCCGTGTTCACGTATGAGCCTGGGTGGACCAGGAAACACAGAGAAGGCCTAAATTATTCCCTCCCCCACAAAGATGTTAAAAAAAAAAACTTCTTCAGAAAGAGGGTCCTTTCTCCCAGAGTTCCTGAAATTGGACTTATCTCATCCCCTGCTTTTCTCCTGTGAATTTTAAGGCCTGGGCTTCCTCACGGGTCACCTTCCCCTCTCCAAAACAAAGCAGATTTGGGGAATCTTGGGGGTGCCAGGCCAGCTCAACAGGACCTGTCCTCAGGGCCAGGGCTTGGCAGTACTTTCTGTACTGAACCCCGCACACAGAGGTTCCTCCCTAGGACCCTCCCCAATAGCTGGGGCAGGTTGCCCCCCACCAACAACACCCCACTGGAGGAACATGCCAGAAGCCCCTAGGGTGGGCTTGGTCCCTGGAAGAATAGCTTGCTCTACCTAGCTGGGCTTGGCCCTTTGGTCTCAGGGCTCTGTGACAGTCCCTCTAGGGGATGGTCCAGTCTCGCACCTTTACCTCCCTGTCATCTGGTTAAGACGGGTCACTGCGGCCAGAGCTCACTCTGACCAAGTCTTGGGAGTCAAGTTTGTCTTGTTGTCCTCAGTCCTCTGACAGCCCAGAGTGCTTTGTGGATAGATCCCTGGAGTGGGGCAGGAGATCCCAGTCCTAACCCTTGACGTAGACATTGCCTTCAGCCACAGTGTGAGTTTAAGGGCATCCTTTCCCTTCCCTGGACTTGATTTCCTCGTCTGTGTGATGATAGATTGGAAGGTGGCCTCTTGGTCTGAGGCCTGGGTGGAGTCCTTTCTTCAGGTGCGGAGTACTTTGTAGTGTGGGGCAGCGGGCAGGGGGACATGGGAGTCAGGACCAAGCTCCACACCCTAGCTACTGCTGCCCTGCTAGCCTGAGTTAGCCCAGCTTCTTCTCTTCCTTCCTGTGCTGGGGACCCCTTAGCAGGCGTTTGTCCAGCTGATAAAGAGGTGCACAACCTACTTCCTTCCTGGTCCCCGGGGCAGCATGGGTGGTGGGGGCCTGCAACATGCAGGGACAAGTGGCTTTGGGGGACTCCCCCATAAAGACCTACATTCCTGGGAAAATGATTTCACCATCAACCTGTCCCTCTAGGCCCCTTCCTGGACCTGTGAAACCTGTTGAACCAGAGTGGGGTAGATGGGGGGACATGAGACCCCAGAGAGAGCCCTGGTGACAGTGGGGGCTTGGGTTTCGGCTGACCTGGCTGGTTCTCCTCCCCATGCTGGCTTGGCTTCGGGTTAGCAGTGTGGCTCTGGGAATGCCCTTCCTACTCTGGAGTATCAGGAGACACCCTGCCCTTCTCCAGGGGTCCTGTGTCCACCAGGCTTGGCCTCTCTCCTCCACCCTTCTGAATCAGAAGTTGAGGGCTTGCCTCCTTTCCCAGGCCAGGCTCTCCTCAGGTTCTAGGTCCTGTCCTCTGTCACTTTGCCAGGTCCCCACCTCACAGATGGTCCCCTCAACTTGCTGGAGCCTTTCTCTCAGCCTGTCAGTGTGGTCCTGCCTGTTTCATCTGGAGAACACCCCCAGACCCTTTTTCTTGTTCCCCTTGCATGACCAGGATGGGTGGCTGGAGATGAACCTGCAGCCCAAGCTGCCAGCTCCTTTCTCTATCCCAAGGTTGTCTTTTGCTCTCACTCCTAGGCCTCTGATTCCATTTTGATAACCATCACCAGTGACCTCTTTTTGGCTAAACAAAAGGGACACGTTTTCCTTAACATTCTAGTCCTCGACCTCAGGCTGCCTTTGGACACGTGGCCTTCTTGATTCACTTCCCTCCCTGGCTTTCTCAATGTCCTGCTGGGTTTCTTCCTCACCTCTCTGGCTGCTCCTTCTATTCTCCCTCACAGATATCTCTTCTGCTTCTGAGATGTGGGTGCCACATCTCAGGTCCCCCGCTGCCCCTGTGCTAGCTCTTCCTCTACTGACTCCCTGAAGCCCGTGGATCTTGTGACTCCTGTTTCCCCATCATCCGTCCTTTCTTTTACCCATTCGGGCTCGAATATCCAACTTACCTCCTTAACTCCCTGATGTTCCAGGGACCCCTGACACCCATCATGTCTGAAATGGAAATTATTTTGCTTCCTCTGCACTCAGTCCCCAAGCCTGGGCTTGGAGCGGGCAGGACATTCTCTCTCTTGCATCCATCCCTCTTCCACTTGGATTCCTTTCTCCCCAAAGCTCTGAGTCCTTGCCCTTGCCCTCCCACACTCTTGCCCCATGGCCCTTCCTCAGATCCCCGCCTGGGACTGTTGAGTTGATTTCACCATCTGGACTCTCCCATTCATTCCACTCTCTCTGGCTTCTGAAGGATGCCTAAAATATGCCTTTGGCTTCTTTTTGCCTTAGGAGTCAAGTCCAAGTACTCCTGGCAGGAAGCTTGGGTTGTGGGTCATGCAGGATCAGAAGGCCTGGGCCTTGATGTCTCTCTGCTTGTGCAGCCACGGGTCTGCTGAGAATGGCTTCGGCTCCTCGTGCACCTAGCTCATTCTGGGTTTGGCCCAGGCACCCCTGCCTGTCTCTGGGGAACCTCCCTGCCCCTTGGGGCTGATGTCTATCTTAGGCATCTTTGTGCTGGCTTGTCACCATCTGTCTACCTGCCAGCTTGACTTCCCCATGGCAGGGTGGGCACCCTCAGCACTGCTTACAGGAAAACCTGAGCCATCTGAGGGACAAATTATTGTCTGGGAAGCTTGTAAACTAAGGGGCCACTTTGGAGGTGTCTAGGGAGAGGCATGGCTAACCCCTCAAGCCCACCCAGTGTGGGCTTTTAATCAAGTGCCTGGTTGGGATCTGCTTCTGTCTCCCCTGGCCAGGCTGACCCCAGCCTCACAGATACTGACACACCACACCCGTATTAGGAGGCGATGGGACCTAGGGGGAGAGGACTTCCCCTGGCCACACAGCCTGGCTGTTCCTCACTCTACAACCCTGTCAGTGCATGTCCCCTTTCTGAGACCTCAGGTTCCACCCATTTGGTAATTTCTCAGATGGCACTTGCATCATCTGCTCCTGTTTTTCAAAACGGAGACTCAGAGGGGACATGATGTGTCCCAGGTCATACAGTGGGGTTGGCAGTTCAGCCAGAATCCCAGGCTTCACCCCGCTACCCCGCCTCTCCGTCTTGGCTCTCTGTCTGCCTCCTGCTGGCCCCAACCCCTGCTGCAGCCCAGGGAGGGTGGAGGGGTGGCATGGAGCCTACTAGCTCCTGCACTCTGCACATCTGGGAAGTCTCATGTCACTGCATTTAGTGGAAAGGCCTCAGCATGACGGGGGCCTCTCCTGCTGCTCATGCTCCGGAGGACCTTGTACCTCCTGGTTCCTGCTGCTCCCATGTGGGTAGCCAAGCTGGGGTGGCCCAGCTGGGAGGAGAAGGGTCCAGGTTCTCCTGACTCTGGTCATTTGGACCAGCCTGAGGGGGAGGGGTGGAGCTGCCTGACACTGCTTCAGAACCCTCCACCTTGACCTCTGTCCTTAGCTTTTTGTTTGGGCTCTGGGATGAGCCCTGAGAGGCTCTGCAGCTGGGGTGGGTTCATCCCAGCTTGCTCTTGACCTTGCTCACCACTGTATCTCCTGGGGCCTGTTTTCTCTCAAAATGAGGGCTGTTCACCCTGCCTGAACGAGGAGGGGTTTAGGAAGTGGTTTTGGGGGTGGGCAGCTGTCTCAGTGGTGTCACTGTCTCAGCAGAGCGTGGACCATGATGAAGCCGGCGAGCCAGAGGTGAGACGAACCTCAAACTCATGCATCGTGGAGAATGGACACCAGCCGGGTGCAGGTAGGGATGGAGGGATGGGAGAGGTGGCTGGAGAGATTTGGGCATCAGGGCCTCGGCCAGCCATTTGTCCCAGCCATTTCTTGGTTGGGGGGAGGGAGGACTTGAGCCTGAGCCACAATAGGCAGAGAGCTTCCAGGAGGGCAGCCTCATTTGGTGTACAGTACAACTTTTTAAACACACAGGGAAAGGGGAGATCTTGGAAGGTAGTGAGCTTCCCTGTTTCTAGAGAAAAGCAAGCCGGGAGCTGAGGAATTGTCCAAGCAATGAAGTGGACAGAGAGTGGCTGGCTGGCCAATTAGTGTTTATTGAGCTGGCTATGAGGGGAAGATGAGAAGAATCGGCTCTGTTAGAGCAGCAGGATATCCCCAGTCAGGGAGGTCAGGGGCCCTTCCTGGAGGAGGTAGGAGGAGGGCCAGGGAGGCTGAAGCCCTCCTGGGGACTCTGAAGCTTCTCTGGCTGCCATGACTGATCCTTCCCTGCTGGTCACATGTTCCAGGTCCAGGCAACGGACCCCCTGAAGTTGCCCAAGCTTTCTCGGCACCAGAGCCCCCCAAGCCTCGACCTGTGAGCCTCTCCTTGCGGCTGCCTCACCAGCCAGTCACGGCGGTCACCCGAGTCTCTGAGAAGTTCTCTGGAGAGACCTCAGCTGCAGCTTTGTCACCTACATCTGCTGCCATCCTGGGGGGCTTCAGCTCAAGCCCCAGTGAGGCCACCACCCCCTGGACTCCCAGTCCCACTGGTATGAGCTGGAGAGAGTGGTGTGGGAACCGAGCCCACCTCAGACGGGGAGAGGGAGGGCAGGGCTGGAGGAGGGTGACAAGAGACTCAAGAAGCCCAGGCCAAGCCCCAGCCACCTCTGCCTGTCATTGCCTGTCACAGCTTCCATTCCTGGTTGAAGCCATGGTTGCCCTGCATATTTGGCATAGTCCCCTCCGTCAGCACCCTCAGGCCTTGTCTTGAGCTGTGGTTGGGTCTTATTGGTGTGTCGTGGCTGGGGCTCTGTGGTCTTCCAAAGGTGGGTTTGGGGACAATGGTTTCTGGTCACACCACACAGGAGGCCCTGGGCTCTGCCCTTGAGCAAGGTAGGAGACAGTTTAGAGGACCTCTTGGATGTCACTGCTGTATGTCCCTATTCTCCTTTTTGCTTGGTTTGTTGAGGCCAGTTTAGCCCAGGGTTTCTGGTTTGTCCAAAGTGATGCCAGATAAATGGGGCAGGGCCAGAGAAAGGGAGGCTGTGGCCAACCCTCTCTAAGGCCAGGGTTGTCATTTCTCTCCCTTCCTTCATCCTACAGAGAAGAATTCCTCTTTTATTCGATCTCTGTCAAGCTCTGGCTTCGGGACAGTGACAGCAGGCAAGCGCAAGGACAGGTGAGTCTTTCTCCCCAGGTGGCTTTTCCGCTCTGCCTAAGGCCCAGGCTGCCCAGGCCCCCTTCAGGGAGCTCCCTGTACCGGCTCAGAAGTTAGTACCCCCCTGGAGTTGGTGCTCCCCAGAACTAAGGCTGTGGGGTTGGCTGGGAGGGTGTGAGCAGGGGGAGTGAGGTCATGGGATTGGCAGAGAGATTCCTTTGGAGAAATATGGTGGCAGCTCGGCAGTTAAAAGATTGCAGGGGAGTTTGGGGTCTCAGCCCCCATAGTAGGAAGGAAGGCAGAAGGATGTCCCACTTTCTCTTCCTCCCTCCGCACTGGCTGGAGGGTCCCTCAGAGCTAGGCAGTCCTGTCTCAGGATGAGCAGATATGCAGAGAGGCCCAGGAGCTGGGGCAGGGTAGCAGGGACTTCCCTGTGTAGCAGGTACCCCCACCCCCACTCCCGCAGGCCAGCTGAGCTGTGGTTGGAACTGGGGGTGGGAGTGGGAGAGGCAACTGGGCTGGTCTTTCTATCTTTGAATAATAAATAGAGAATGTGGCTTTCTGGCCAATTGTTGGGGGCAGGGAACATCAGGGGTCTTCTTTAGTGGTGGAGGAGGGAGACTTGGCCCTGGTAGGGCTGGCTCAGGGGATACCTCCTGGCCTCCCTGGCCACCCCCAGGCATTGACACCTGCCGAGGAAAGGATTTATGTCCAGAGACTGGGCCCACCCTCCTTCCGCAGTCAGGCCTGCTGGCCTGGCCTGCTTCAGACAGCAACTCAGTTAAGAAAACCTGCCAAACCAGCTGAGGATGGAGCAGGTGGGGCTTGCTTTCTGACTGCCGCCATAGTGCCCATCCATCATGGCACAGCCTGTCAGCCTTTCTCCCACTCGGCAGGGGCTGGACCGGGGCTTAGGGAGCTAGTGACTCCAGGTCTGTGTTCCTGATATGGTGCTTCTCTCCTTAGCCCACCGCTGGTGACACCACCCCAGTCACCCCCATCCCCACAGCTGCCAGCTGTGACTCCAGCCCCTCGCCAGGGGGAGCGTCGCAGAGAGCTGGTGAGGTCGCAGACACTGCCCCGCACCTCAGGGGCACAGGCCCGGAAGGCGTTGTTTGAGAAGTGGGAGCAGGATACAGCGGGCAAGTACGGACACTCACCCCCAGTTCAGGCCCTCCTCCCCACATCAGGCCCAGCCTAGACTGGGGTCAGGCAGGCAGGGCATAGTAAGGCAGGGCCCTGACCTGTTCCCCAGGTGCATAACCTGAGGCTAGCCCTCTGGGTTAAAGTTCAAGGTCAAGGTTGAGTCACAGTGTGAGTTTATGGGGAGTAGAGACTGTAGAGGGTCTGGGTCAGGCCTGATGAGGGTCCTTCCCCTCTATTCCGATGTACCCCAGTCTTCTAAACTCCCAGTGTGCCCAAACCACCCTCAAACCTGAATTTTTCAGGATTGTCACTCCTTTAGTTTCTGGGTATGACCAGGGAGTCTGGCAGGGGTTGGTATTCCTGTTTGGAGTTGGGAGACCATGCTGCCGTTGGGCTGAACTTGTCTGAGGACCAAAGAGGTGACATGGCAGGTCTCAGGGGCCGGCTGGCCACCAACATGCTCTGGAGAGATGAGATTCTTGATCCTGCCTTTGCATATTTATTCAACCCCCTTTTTGGTGCATAGTATTGATATCTTGCAGGTGCAAGGGGGGGTGTAGGCGATCCTTGCTCAAGTCTAGGGAAGAATCTCAGCCAGGAAGATCCCCACTGACCCTATGATCAGCAACCTGACCTTAGCCATTAGGAAGTGTCCTTGGGGCCCCAAGGAGAAAACCATCCCTCCTGCCAGGAAAGAACCCTCAGAAAAGGAGGACTCCATTGGATTACCCAGTGGCCCCCTGCTTACAAGTGCAAAAGTTCTCAGGGTCCCTGGAGGGCCGCAAGGGGGTGATGATGGTTCTTCCAGATACCATCAAAGGAGGCTTATGGTACCTGGGGCTGTGCTGGGGGGCCTTAGCTGCACCCTGACCCAGTGTCTCCCTAGAGTGAGCAAACCTGGGGGCTGTCTAATTGGGTGGTGTACAGAGGTCCTCCCCGCAGCCCCCACAGCAGGCCTGCCCTTTCTCCACAGGGGCAAAGGTGAGGCCCGGGCCAAGCTAAAACGGTCGCAGAGCTTTGGCGTGGCCAGCGCCAGCAGCATCAAGCAAATCCTGCTCGAGTGGTGTCGCAACAAGACCCTGGGCTACCAGGTGAGCCCTGGCCCAAGGCCAGCCAAGCTTCATCCCTGAGCTTGTCCTCCTTGATAGGGCGAGAGCCCGCCCAGGCTGAGGGAAGGGGCTAGAGCTAGAGACATGGTCCCTTCTGAGCAGGTGTCTAGCCACCGGCAGCTTGTGCTTAGAGATTTTAGGAATCCAGATCTAGGCCTGAGCAGCCTGGTCTAGCATACCTTTAGCAGGGAGGTCTTGTTGATGAGCTGGGTGATGGTGGGCTTTGGGGCGGGGCTGGGAGCACCTACTCGTGGGATTGAATTGGGTGCTCCCACCCCTCACTGACTCGCTCCTGGCCTTGCTTGCAGCATGTGGACCTGCAGAACTTCTCATCCAGCTGGAGCGACGGGATGGCCTTCTGTGCCTTGGTGCACTCCTTCTTCCCAGATGCCTTCGACTACAATGCCCTGAACCCTGCGCAGCGGCAGAAGAACTTTGAGTTGGCCTTCACCATGGCGGAGTAAGTGTGGCAAGTCTTGCTGGCTACTAGCTCCAGGCCAGACCCCGAGTACTATTTCTGCCCCAGGTAGGTTCTGGGAGTAGGCAGGACATAGAGCCGCTGGCCACATAGTTGAGGGACCTTGAGGCCAATCAGCCCATCTTCCTCTTGTACAAATGGGAAGATGGAGGCCTGGTGAGGGATGTACTCAGTGGGGCCAGGTTTTCTCTGTGCCTGGTGTTCCTCTCTTTCTTGCTGGTGCTCAGCTTCTTGGGTGCAGCATGGAAGAATGACCACAGAGCCTGAGTGACAATGGAACAGGGTCCCTGGGGCAGTGGGCCTATCTTGTCACACTGGTGAACAGATACAATTGCTTGGATAAACCCCAGCTGCCAACCATAAGGAAATTTGGGACATTTCAAAAGTAGATTTTGCATCCCTAAATACTATTTTAGGATTTTCTGTGAAATGCTCAAAATACCAGCTTAGTTTTCTGTAACTCTAACAGAATACCGGAAACTAGGTAATTTATAAAGAAAAAAAAAGGTTGATTTTGGTTCTGGAGGCTGGAAGATCAAAGTTATAGTGCTGGCATCTGCTTGGCTTCTGGTGAGGGCCTTGTGCTGCCTAGACTCAGGATGGGAAGAGAGAGGGCAAATGGGCATATATGCAAGAGAGGAGAGGATAAAGGGGTTTGAATGCTTTATAACAACTGCTTTCAAGATAACGAACCCATTCTTGCAGGAACTATGTTAGTCTCTTCAGGAGGACAGATCACTTATGAGCCTAATGCCTCTTAAAGGCTCTCCACCCCTCAGTGCCATGATATTGGGGACCAGTCCTCAACAGGAGCTTTGGTAGGGGCAAATCCTCTTTAAACCATGGTACTTGCCTCTTCATGTCCCACTCATAGGAAGATTTAGGGAGGGAGGGAGGAGCAGTTCTGGGATTGGGACGTGCTTGAGAAACCAGTTTGGAATTGGGTTATTGGCCAAGGGCAACCCCTAGAGCAGCAGGAGAATTGGCTAAGTTTAGTCTATCTGTCAGGGCCCTGGCGGAGGGTGGGTGTCCATTCAAACTGGGTGATGTGTATTTCATAGAGGGACTCTTTCCAAAGGCGTGGGCAGGAGCGAGAGAAAAGGAGCAGGTTGTGTGCAGTAGCACGTCTGGGGTGACTGCAGTGCAGACCTGTTACCAGCCCTGGGTGGTTATCTCTCTGAAACTGGGGGGCACACAAGGTTCATGGAGTCAGTTCATGACTCTCTGATAGGAGCTGTGTTTCGGGCAACTGCATGTGGCCAGGTCACAAGACCCAGCAGGGAAAGAGCCCTGGGATCATCCTTGGACCTCCTTCCTCTCCTGCCCTCACACCCGGGGGCTGGTGCTGGCTGACCCCAGAGAGCAGGAAGCCATCACTGTAGCCCATCATAGCCCCCTGGGGGTAGAAAGCAGGGGATAAAGAGATCCTTAGAGAGAAGGAAGGCCCACTCCAAAGCTGAGTTTCCCAGACTGGGGGCACATCGGTCATTCTCTCCCTGCCTTTGGGCTCTGTGTTGTCAGCCTCTAAGGTCGATCTCTAGGGGACCATGTGAGTTTCTGGTCTGGGTCCTCAGTGCTCATATCCTCCTGTGTTGAAAGGGCCTCTCCCCGCCTTGCCTGCCCTGCTCACTCCATTTTGGGCCTGACCACCTAGCCCAGCCCCCTCATGCCAGGCCCTGAGCCTGGCCAGGGAGGAGGTGGGGCCAGTGGATCTCACACCCCACCCTGGTATGGAAAGCCCTCCTGGACCGACAGCTGCTGGTTTGCTCTGGGGCAGAATCAGGCCTCTGGCTCTGAGCTTCTCTGCCTGACGTTTTGGAATACCCGCATGGGCCTGTTGTGTCGTCTCAGGCGACGCACTAGGACTCTCAGCCCCTTTGGGGTCATAAGAACTCCATGTATACTTTAAAGCCTTGTCTTTCTTGGCTGCCTGGGATTAGTTGTCATCCTAATAGCAGAAACAGCTCTGGACGGGTGTGTTATGCAACTGGATCCAGACGAAGGTGGCGTGGTGCCAAGTGTCGCGGCACGATGTGGGGAGGGGGTGGCTCAGAGGAGGAGGCCCAGCTGCTTGCAACACAGAAATGGGGACTGTCAGAAATCAGACTGTTAGAATGTGTGGGGATTGGGGCTCCTCCTTGGGCACCTCCAGATCCACCCCTGCCGCAGGGAGGCCATGCTGGGTCTATAGAATTCTTCACCATTTATGTCCAGTGGGCCAAGCAGTGCCAACTCATGCCCTGGCCACCTTGGTCACCCTCAACCCTGGGCCAAGCTGGGCTATGGCAGGGAGAGGGACACCCTGGGCCATGGAGTGGTGGCCTGGCGCCCCAGCTCCCAAAGAAAACAGCTTCCCTTGGCAGCTGAAGCCAGAACCATTCCAGGCTGTGCTTTCCCAGCACGAGGTTTGAGTTCACGGAGTCTCCAGACTCCAAACAGATGTTTCTTCTATTCCCGACCTGGGGGAGGGGAAAGGGGTGGTGGAAGCTGGTCTAGGCTTTGCCTTCTCCTTTCCAGAGCAAACAATGGGGTGAAATTCTCAGCCCTGCCTCCCTGCAGCCTGAGCCTGCTCTGGCTGGGGAGGGGAGGAGGCCGCTGAGATGGGGCTCCTGAGATCAGCCCTGGCTTTTCTGCTGACTCCAGGGGGGTGGGGAGGGGCGCCCCGCAGTGGGCCTGTGTGGGGAGCTTGCTCAGAGCCTGGGAAAGCGCCTCCCCGAATGAGTCACCCAGGAGATTATCTCACAGGTACAAGTCGGGGAGAGGGCTGGGTAGATGGGCCGGCCTGCCTGGGGCCTTTGAGAAGGACAGCCACTTGGACAACAGGTTAGGAAAGCTGTTGGGAATCTCGGGGACACCTGCTTGAGGATATGAGCTCTGGATGTCTCAGGTGTCCCGATGAGGTCTGCCAGCAAAATCCGAGCGGATGCACCAGGGTATGGAAAGCCATCAAAAACCATGGAGGCAGGGAACAGAGCTAAGAGAGGCGGCTTGGGAGCAGGCAGCTGGAGATGAGAGAAGCCTGGTATACCATCAAGGCATGACTTTCAGAAGGGAAAAGACAGGTGGTCCCCAAACCATGCATCCATCTAGCACCAGGGAGGGAAAGTTGTCAGCTCCTCTGGTGAGCAAGTGTCTTTAAGGCACAAGGACTGGAAACGTTTGGAGTAAAAGTGGTGTGTGCGGCCCCTCCCCCCTGCAGTTTCTGGGCCCAGAGATTCCTTGTGGCCTAATCTGTGTGAGTGATGCAGTGTTGACAGCAGAGCGAGCTTCCCTTGCCTGACAGGTGTTCAGGGCCTGGAACAGGGAGGACCAGTCCCTTTTATGGAAGGGCTGAGTCAGGCAGGCGCCTGGCCCTTCTGCACCTTTCCTCCCCACTTCTCCACAGAGCCCAGCGCAGGACGCTTCCCACTTGCCCTGCGTGGAATGTGTCCTGCTCTCCGGTTACGCCCCAGCAGAAGGGGCTTCCAGGCTATTTGTAGTCTCCATGTGTCTCTGTCTAAAACCAGACAGGAGGCAGCAGCCCGAGCCCTGGCTGTATTTAGAGCAGGCTTAAAAAAATAAAAATAACCCCCCCAAAGTCCCTCCTCTGTGTCCCTTATAGGCCAGCGCTATGGTCGCTGAAGATCACAGGTGATGGGAGTAGGAGAAAGCCCTCCAAACTGAGTGTAAGCAAGTTCATGATGTAGGCCAATGTCTTGCTGTCTGGTGGCATTGGAAGGGATCTGTACTTTCTCCTTTGGATTTTTCCATGGAGTCTGAATTAATTAAAACAAGCTTGGACCATGTTTACAAAAGCAGTTCGTTTAAAATGTAAAAGGTAACTGGGGCTTCTGATATTTTGAGGCTTAATTATTTTGATAAAAGTTAATGGGGCCGGGTGTGGTTGGTACACATCTGTAAACACAGCCACACACTGGGCAGGCGAATTCCAAGTTCAAAGCCAACCTGGGCAACTTAATGAGACCTTGTCTTAAAATAAGAAATAAAAGGGGCTTGGGTGTAGCTTGGTGGGGGGAGGTGGAGATGTGTGAGGCCCTGAATTGAATCCCTAGTACTGAAAAGACAAATAAACAAACAAACATAAAAACAAGTCAGTGGGGACATCATTTCCCTTTTCTCCTACTGGGTCTCCTGAATTTTATTCATCCTGTGTCTGCAGCTTCTAGGAATCTTGTTACCATTGTAGCTGGCACCAGCTGAGGAAGAGTGTGCTCTGTCTTCGGGGACAAGTTGGAGTGGATGGCATGTGCCCATGAGGGTCTGGTGTGCACCATGCTGTGGTCTCAGATAGGGACACTGTTCTACGTGGAGGAGGGAGACTTGGGAGCTCCCCAGGGAAAGAAGTAGGTGAAGGGCAGAGATGGTACAGAGAAAGAAAAGAAAGAGCTGAGAGATGGTGGCCACATGTTACATACTATGACCCCCTGTCCCCCAAGTCTCAGAGACTCCATATTCTCATCTGCTTAACTTAAAAATGACAGTGGGGTAGGATAGGGTCTAGGTGGATGGTGGCCCAGGCTCCTGGTTGCCTTCTGGGGAAGTCACTGCCTGGCATGGGAGTAGAGGTGAGGCTCCACTGATCTCGAAGCCTTGCTGCCCGGACAGGGCAGGGGATGTGGGTTGGAGGGTAAGTGCAGCTTCTAGATGAAGGAAGGGGTTCACGCACCCTCCTCTGCACAGGTTGGACAATTCTGGAAAATGCCAGAAATCAGAAGTCAGAATTCAGAGGAGAGGGTCCTGTGCTCTTTGGGGGCACAATTAAGGAACCAGAAAGATTTCATTTTAGGAATGGATAGGAAGCTTCTCTTTCAGCATGTCAAGGGCTATTTTATGGGGAAAAATTAGACTGAGAATAACCTGTGGGGACATTAGGTAAAAAGCACAGAGGAGGGCAGGGGTTGTAGCTCAGCAGTAGAGCGTTTGCCTAGCACGTGTGAGGTGCTAGGTTCAATCCTCAGCACCACATAAAAATAAATAAATACAATAAAAGCAATAAAAAAAAAAAGAAAAGAAAAAGAAAGCACGGAGGCAGAATAGCATGAGCCACATGGGCAACGGCTTCCTCAGGATTTGAGCCACCTGGAGAGGTTGGAATGGTCCCTGGAGGAAATTAGGTCCCCCTCCCTGGTCGTCCTAGAGGTGAGCAAGCCAAGGCAGGGTCTTGATTGAGCTGGTTGGGCTTCTGATTGATGTGTTTGGACAGGGTGATGTTTGAGTTCTCTTCTGAGGCTGAGGTCCTGGGGTCCCAGGGCTGTCCTCATTTAGCGTGGTGGTGGGGGGCACTGAGGCTACCACTATTGGTGGTGGTAACCTGGGCTCATGTGAAGCTTCTTTGCATACTTGGGATCCTGTAAATAGTAGGCCTGAGAGGGAGGAGAGAGAGAAGGTGCTCTCTGTGTGGGGCAGGGGAGGAGGAAGACACCGGATGCCAGTGATATTTCTGCAAGGTGAACTCAGGTCCTGGCTCCTCTGAAGAGTTCCGATTTTTTAGTCCTTGTCCACAAAGCACCTCTGCATGCCTCCCCTGTTCAGAGGGCTGACCTCCCTGACCCTGAGCTCTGGCCTGGCCTGGGGAGAGAGGGTGCCTGCTCTTTGGGCCAAACCTACTCTTTACCCAACAAAGCTGCTGGATTCTCTTACAGGCCACCCGCTCCAACCCGAAAGGGAGGCGGAGATGGGATCCGGGACAGATGTCTCCATTTCGCCTTGACATTTGGTTTCTGATAGGAGCCCTGGAGTCTGGCCAGCACCACTGAGCCAGGCCTGGTAGTAATGTTACAGTCTTTGTCTCTGGAGCACACGGTTCAGGGTGCTACCTTGGTGCCATGTCATGGTAGAAGCTGCAGGAGTCGCGCCAAGCTGGCTTCAAGCTCTGTGGTAGGTCTGAGGAGCCCTGGTTTGCTCCCTGGGGTCTTCCCTCTGGCTGGGCTCTTTGGGGTTCAAGGTGCATAAGGACATAGTGTGGAAACACAGTCTCTTCACTAACCCCATGGAAGCAAGAACAGAGGTGTACTTAATTTTCTTCTCAGGTAATGGGCACAGAAAGATTAAGTGATTGGCAAAGTCAGGATCTGAACCCAGTTGTTTAGATTTCACATTGAGTTTTCTTCTCCATGATCCTCTGCTGCATAAAGTGAGGTGTGATAATAAAAGCAACAATAGTGCCAGGCTTGGTGGTGCACGCATGTCATCCCAGTGGCTTGGGAGGCTGAGACTGCAGGATTGCAATGGAAGATCAGCAACAGCAAGGCTCTAAGCAACTCAGTGAGACCTTGTCTCTAAATAAAAACAAAATAGGGCTAGGGATGTGGCTCCATGGTTGGGTACCTCCGAATTCAATCCCTGGTATCACCCTCCTGCAAAAAAAAAAAAAAAAGCAGCAATAGTAATAATCTCCAGCAGTCATGGAGCTCTTTTGATGTGCCAGGTGCTGTTTTGACTGGTTTTCATGGATTAGCTCACTAATCCTTCATGCTACTCTGTGAGGTGGATATTATTCCAGATGAGGAAACTGAGACCTGGAGAAGTTAAGTGCCTTGTCCTCAATCATAGAGCTAATAAGAGACGGAGCTGGAATTTGAACCCTGACAGTCACGCACTGATCAGGGGGATAAAGAAGACTGAGAAAGCCTGGAGCTGCAGATGCACACACAGCTACTGACAGAAGGGCACTGGCGAGTGGGACAAATGCACTCATGGTTGCCCTTTTGGATCTGCCTGGTTTCAGGCCAGCTACTCCTGGTGTCCAGGAGTCCTGGGCATACTGTGAGCACAGTCAGAGGGGGCAGGGGCATTATTTGGCAGATGCCTGCTGCCCCGTCAGGACTCAGTGCTGAGATGCACAAGGCTGTGTGTCTTGACTGATGAAGTCCATTTTCCTGCGTCCCGGAGATCCCTGCGAGGCTACAGTTTACACAGGAGTCTGTGTCAAGGTGCCCAGAGTTAGACCCATGTTTCCCGGGATGTGAGGCACAGGGTCTGCAGGTGGGGGAGGAGCGGATGCTGGAGATGGGGTGACAAGATGATTTTGAGCAATTCTTTAAACATCCAGCTATGCCCCATTAGTACTTTGTAAAATTACTGTCGTGGTTCAGCAATTTATAGAAGGTGGGGAGGGGGATAAATATGAAACATGGAGAAAATATCAGTAAAGCAAAGAATTTCTGTGGAAGTGTATTTCACATATATCATCCTTCAGTATCCACGGTTCTAGGACCCGCCTTGGATACCCAAATCCACAGGTGCTCAAGTCCCTTATTTAAAATGGTGTATTTGCATATATCCTGTGCACATCCTTCTGTAGACTGGAGATCATCTCTTGGTTACTTATAATACCTAAAACAATGTAAATTCTATGTAAATAGTTGTTATCCTGTATGGTTTAGGGGATAATGACAGTAAAAAACAAGTCTGTATGTGTTCAATACAGATGTGATTCTTTAATATTTTCTTTTTAAAATTTTTTTTAGTTGTAATTGGACACAGTACTTTCTTTCTCATTTATTTGTTTTATTTTTTTTAATATTTATTTTTTAGCTTTAGGTGGACACAATATCTTTATTTTATTTTTATGTGGTGCTGAGGATCGAAACCAGCACCTCGCACGTGCTAAGTGATTGCTCTACCGCTGAGCCACAACCCCAACCCTCTTTAATATTTTCAATCCAAGATTGGTTGAATCTGTGGATGTGGAACTTGTGGTTTATACAGGGCTGACTGTGTGTGTGCTGAAATCATGATGAAAACTATTTTTTCTTTAAGAGAAGAGTTTTTAAAATGCTAATTTGGAAGGCAAACGGGTGTATTTACTTTTTACCTTATTGGTTTTACATTTCTTTTTATAGTTTGTGCTAATTTTCCACAGGATAATGAATACATTGTTACTTAAGTTGAATTCACTTAAAATTAAAGGAAGTCTGTTGAAATCAAAATATGAATTGTAGCTGGGTGCAGTGGCACATGCCTGTAATCCCAGCTCCATAGGAGGCTGAGGCAGGAGGATCCCAAGTTCAAAAACAGCCTGGGCAATTAGTGAGACACTGTCTCCAAATCCAAAAGGGCTGGGGATGTAGCTCAATGGCAGAGTGGATTCAACGCCCAGTACCACGCGCACACACACACGCGCACACACACACACACACACATACACACACGCACGCACACATAAATTATAGTACAGGTGGTTCATGATTGTAAATATGGGAGCTGGGGAAATACTGTGTTAGACAGGTGACCTGGAGAGCACTGGAATGCTGAATTCTGTTTGGGGGACACCGAGGACATCCCAGTTGCAGAGGGGCTGGCTGTTTGCTGGGACCATCCTTTGATGGGGGCTTCTGTGTTTCAGGAATCTGGCCAACTGTGAGCGCCTCATCGAAGTGGAGGACATGATGGTGATGGGCCGCAAGCCGGACCCCATGTGCGTCTTCACCTACGTCCAGTCACTGTACAACCACCTGCGTCGCTTTGAGTAAAGCCGTGGGACCCGGAGAGCCAAAGAGCAGCCCGGGATGGGACTGTGGAGCTTCTTGTGTTCCTGAGTCAGGATGACCCTGGGAGCAGCTGCTGTGGTGTGAGCTCACTGTTTGTTCTGTGGCGTGTGACAGCGTGCCCCTTCGTGCCCAGCCGTGTTACTGATTAAAAGTATGGCTGAGCTGTGCTGGACAGTACTACCACGGCCCAGGGCTTCCAAGAAAAAGGAAAAATTCCCAGAGAGAGAGAGAGAGAGAGACAGAAATTGGTGCTAAGTAATAATCTTCCTAATGAAATGCTTGCCTGTGTAGATTCCAGGATGCTAAATTATGGTTTTCCCCTCTGGTGAATTAGATACATTGGCTTGATAGGGTTCCATTGATTACCAAGTGTTTTTTTTATCAAAATACCCAGAGCCTTTTTTTTTTTTACTTCCTCACACTATTGTAGGTTCCTTTCCTCCCTCCCTCTGGGCCACTGCCAGGAAACAGACCACTTAATCAGCAGCTTGACAAAGAAGACTGAAGTCTTGGGAAGAAACAATTTAATCATGCACAGGTCCTGGGCAACGGGTGACCTTCAAGTCACCTCTACTCTCTGGGGGGGAGATGGGAAGGCTCTTGCCTGGGTCCTACAATGCTCCTCTTCTTCCCAGGAGGCCCAGCAGGGGTTCAGCTGAGGATAGGCTCTCTGGAAGCTGACACTTTTGGGGAAGGGTAGACCCTTTGTGCTGAGTTTTTATTTGCATCTTTTTTAGAGGATTTGCTGCAGGTATTTATAAGAAGTAATTCCATCTGTACCACTGACTCATTTGTACATAAAAAGATGTGCTGAACTTGGCTTTTGGAATCTGTTATTTCTGTTTGGGAGATGTGAGTTTTATGAATAAGAGACTGCGTATATTCAAATGAAGATCTGATTAAATCCCATTTGAACTGTTCTTGCATCAAAACCGCTTGCTGGAGAAGTTGAAAATGACATTTGCTGTCTCCCAGTTTGCGTGTCGGACACCCATCTCCATGTTGTCTAAGGAGCATGAACAGAAAATTCCCCTTACAGATCTGTCCGTTGGATGTTGAGAAATGTGTTATGATAAACTGTGGCTCAAGATGGAACGTTTTGGGGGAGTTTTTTTGGGGGGAGGTTATTGAAAAAAAATTTTTTTTTCATGATGCTGGAGATCAGACCCAGAGCCTCACCCACACTTGGCAAGTGCTCTACCACTGAGCCACACTCGAAGCCCCTGGTGGCCCATCAAAAGTGCAGGTTTAATTTCATGGCTGTTCGGTGGTAGGATTTAAAATCTTTTTTTAAATTATACATGGGCACAATATCGTTATTCTGTTTATTTATTTTTATTTTTATATGGTGCTGAGGATCGAACCCAGTGCCTCACATATGCAAGGCAAGCGCTCTTGTCACTGAGCCGCAACCCCAGCCCAGTGGTGGTAGGATTTTAATAGAAAAATTTTTAGATTCTATAAAGCTGTAGCCATTACCTTATACTTATTCAAGAATCATTGTATAACTGGATTGGATTTTTGTCCCTGGATTTCTAAAACTTGTCATTAAGGAGCTAATATGGATCTTCCTCTCAAGCAATAGGCTCTAAACACTGGCGCCAATGTGACATCATGGAGATGCATGTACATCCCTTATGTTGGGTGCTGGGGGCAGAAGATCCTTGGTGGTGGGGGAGTTGGGGAGGTTGGAGGGCCATGGAAGACCTTACAGGTGACTGAGCAGTACTTCCAGTAAATTTGTTTGCAGGTTTATTTTATTTTTAATTTTTTAATTTTTAAATTTCTTTCTGGTGCTGGAACCCAGACCTTGGACATACTAGGCAAGCAAACTACCACTGAGCTATACCCTAGTCCTTAGTGGATTTGTTTGTTCAGGCCTTGGCATCTTTTGGATTCTCGCACAGTGGGATCCATTCCCTCTCTAGTTCTGCTGTTGCTCATAGGCTTGGGAAGGTGAGCCCTATTATTAGCAGAGACACATACTGGAGCTTAGAGTTTCAAAACCCGAAGCCAATGCGGGAACACCAGGGCTCTATAAAAAGCATGCCTATGTGTTACCAAGCACTCACACATGTTGAATGGAGCTCTCCTGAGTTGTAGACGTGCCTTGCCCCCTCCACACATAAAGTACAGCAGATCCTGCTGGAGTGGGGAACTGTTTCTCTTAAACTTTAGGAATGGTTCCCCTTGTGTGTCTCTTGCAGAATAAGAGGGACTAGATATGTTTGAAGTCAGTTCCGTGATGCTCTTTTGATGGGGAGGTGGAATGAGGGATCATAGGAGTTAATGAGTTTGAAACCTGATTTCCTCTAGGACATAGCATGAGTGTTCCAAAATGGGGAGGGGGTGCAAGCAGGACCCTCACTCTCCAGACATTGGGGACACCACCATTTTAAACTGGGATTACGTGCAAGTTCCCATTTGTAGAATCGGAATCCTCATTGCCTCTATTATGGGATGGAGGGTTTCACATTTTTTTTTTTTTTTACCCCTCTCCTGAGAGAATCATTTCTTGGAACGGTTCATACGATTCTTCTGTTTTTCCAGAGAGGTTTCTTTCACCTGGATTTTGTTAAAACTTATTAAATCTGACCAAAGGGGCTTGTATGCGTTTCCCTGAAGTGAACGTTTCACCAGAGCCAAGATGGGTTTTAGCTTTTCTGACAGCTGATGGATATTTTTCAAGGCGAGTGAGAGCCTCTAAGCACCTTCTGGATATGATATACACATGCTGGTGAGAAGAGAGCATACGGGCCAGGTGTTTGGGGGAACAGTTTGTTAAAGCCAACGAATTTCGCAAATGTGTTAGAGGAGGGAAAGTTCTCAGCTTTTTCCCAGTGGCAGTGGTCAGGGCTCTGTAACTGGAGGAGACCAGCGTGAGAGAACACTTTATTTTCTGCCGTTAAGTCCCATCCATATGACCCCAAGCAACTGGATAGAAGGCTGAAAATGCTGATTCAGTGGGTCGGTTTTAGGTGGGACATTTTACCGATCCATCAGAACCAACTCTGGTTTTGGGTTTCAAAAGCTGGTGACAGGTGTCAGAACTTATTCAGATGACTTGATTATACCCATAGAAATGGCCAACTGGTTTCCCTCTCTCTCTTAGCTATGGTCTTGCAGCCCCAGGATCAGCTTCTGCCAAATAAATAAATGTACTTGGTGGGATCATTTCTGGGCTATGTTGCCTCTGGCTTTTAAAGTTTGCTTTGGGCTTGCTTTTAGAGCCTTTGATCTCTTATTGCTCGGTGTTTGGACTTTCTTGAACACTAAAGAGCCCTCATCATCTTTTGAAAGAGCACATTAAGAATCTCGAAGGTGGCTGGGTCTAGTGGCTTAAGCCTATAATCCCAGAGATTTAGGAGGCGGAGGCAGGAGGATCACAGGTTCTAAGCCAGCCTCAGCAGTTCAGTGAGGCTGTAAGCAACCTAGTGAGACCCTGTCTCAAAATGAAAAGGGCTGGGGATGTGGCTCAGTGGTTAATTTAAGTGCCCTTGATTTCAATCCCTGGCACCCACAAAACCAAACAAAACCAAAACTCTCTAAGGCTTGCTTCTTCCCTAGAAAGTCCTGAAGAAGAAGGTCTATGGCTATTTCTATTCTGCAGCCTTAGAGTCCCTTCTCTCCCCATTCCTCTGAGCTATGTTCTGAGCTCTGCACTTCTTCAATGTCAACACCCAGACCCTGTGTGGGCTTTGGGGAGTCTGTGGATGTCTGAATTAAATATTTTACCTTCCTCTGAAAATCTGGCTCCTTTCTCAGAAGCCATCACATCCCATTGGCCTCATGGACATTCTCGGGTCCCCTTTGGACCTAGACATTGGGGGCTGTTCCCAAAGCAATTCACTTGCTTCCTTCCAGGCATTGCAAACTGAGCATTTGTGAGATCCCTGCCAGCAGGGGCTCAAGATTTCCCCTTCTCTAGAGTGTCCTGAAGTTTCAGAAATATTGGTATTCTCCATGGTTTCATTTTGAAAAAATTTCCAATTTATAGAAAGCTCAAAAGAATAGGTCCATGAACATCTGTATCTCTTTGCCTCGTTTGCTAACATTCTGCTGATGTGTGTTCTTTCTCCATAAAAGAGTTGGTTTTTTTTTTTATCTTTCTTTCTGAGCCATTTGGAAGTAAGGTACCAATACCATGAAACTCACCCCTGAACACTTCAGCAAAGATCTTCCAAGAATGAGAACATTCTCCTATGTAAGCAAAGTGTTATCATATGGAAGAAATTGAACACTCGCTTGCCTAATGTACAATCCATATTCAAATTTCCCCAATTGTTCCCACATGCCCTTTATGGCTTTCAAAAAAAAAAAAAGTCTAGGATCCAGTCAAAGTTCACACGGTTCATTTGGTTTGATATCTCTTTTATTTCTTTTAACGGAAGAAGTCCCCCCTACTTTGCTTGCTATTTTCTCTGGACTCTTGGAAGAACCCCCATCAATTGTCTTATGCACACTGTTCTACAATCTCTTTGACTGTTTCCTTCTGATTAGACTCAGGTGAACCATGTTGGCCATTTCTATAACATTATATGTGGGGCACACACTTGGCCTATTGTCCCTGTCAGCTCTGACTATGGACAGGCAGGGGCCACCAGACCTCTCATTACACTCTTTGTCTCTGTAACTAGAACTCCATGGGTGAAACTCTTGAGACCATGCATTTTATTTCCCAGCAACCTTTCATCCACTAGCTTTAGGGTGATCCATTGGTGATTTTTGCCCGAATCTGTAATCATATTGAACGTTGAAAATGATTTACATATTCCCTTCTATATTTACCAGTTGGTTTTATTCTGCAGAGGTCTTTCCCTCCTGCTACTTCAGTTTTTGAGAGTTACTCTGGACTCATGGATTTTTTTTTTTTTTAAGTGCAATGTGTCGTAATCTCTCATTGTCAGTTCTTTTTGATGCTTAAATTGTCCAAAGTTGGTCCGGTGAGGGATGATGGCTTGTCCTTTTGCCATGTCCTCATGATTGTTTGAGCAATTCCCTGCTTTCTGGCACAGGATACTCCAGGCTGATCTTTGACTCTCCTTGCTCCAGCCAACCCCAGAATCAACCATTTTTAAAGAGGTCCTGCCTGGTCTCTTTAAAGTCATCAACAATAGTGGGAAATTTTTTCAATAAAGATTCAAGAACTAGAGGTGCTCACTGCAACTGGGTATCATGCTCTATGAAATTTGACATAGAAGACCTTCAAATCTACTAATACCTCCAGTTTAGATTCAATCTCACACAGGCTTCGTCTGTACTTTTTTTTTTTAATATTTATTTTTTAGTTTTTTAGGTGGACACCATATCTTTATTTTTCATTTTATTTTTTTGTAGTGCTGAGGATCAAACCCAATGCCTAATGCATGCTAGGTGAGCGCTCTACCTCTGAGCCACATCCCCAGCCCTTCTTCTGCACTTTATTCTCTATTTTCCATTTTCTCTGATTCCCAACAATTTCAATATGATTCTGAATTTCTTCTGTATTCTAATGAACACAGAATTTTTCCACTGATACCACTGCTCACAATGAACTCACCCAAATAAGTAAGGTTAGAGATTTCTTTGTGGTGCTTTTTTACCCCCAATTAGAATATATCCCCCAGGATGCACAGGGAAGTGGATTCAAAAAATAATTGTATTATTTTTTTTTCTCTTGGAAGTCATGTTATGAATGTAATATGTGGTGAAGTTCATTTGTTTCTGTGTGTATTCAGTGGAGGGTTTGTTTCCATTATTTTAGTGCATTTTTGAATATGCAAATTCTCGACCTAGTTCAAAAGTCAAAATGGGGGCTGGGGTTGTGGCTCAGTGGTAGCGTACTCACCTAGCACGTGTGAGGCCCTGGGTTCGATCCTCAGCACCACATAAAAATAAATAAATAAATAAAACAAAGATATTGTGTCCAACTACAACTAA